CGGGGATGGGGGGGGGGGGGAAGGAAGGGACTGGACAGATGGGTAGAGGGGGGGGGCCCCTCCCCAGAGATCATATCAAAATGTCTCTCTTGTGCAAAGCAGAGGGAATGCCCCCAAGAGCTGGTTTCCATGGTGACCACAAATGTCAGGTTCCATGTGGTGAATAACTGTTTCCATGACAACACCTCCTTTACCCTAGGTGCTGGGAGCTGGAGTGACAGCCCTGTTGGGGGAGGGGACAGGGAGATGGCCTCAGGTACTTAACCCCCTCCCTCATCTCCCCCCATCCTTTCCCACATCTTGCCCCAAGCCCTCAGCACCAGCATCCCTGGTGGGTCCATGCTCACCTAGGGGTGTGATGCTTTCGGCTGCCATGGCATCCCCTCCTTCCTCTCTTCCCCCAAATGGATTTGTTCCGCATAGAAGTGTAGATGTGAGCCTGTCCCTCCATCTCCCTCCCCATCTGTTTAGCTTAATCCTGGTTTTGCATCCTGGGTAGAAATAAACTCTGGGACCGGCGGGGAGTGAGGTGGCCAGCTGCCCCTCTTGGCTGCACACTGAGCCCTCTCTTCTGAGCGCACATCTGGGCTGCCTGCCCTCTGCTGCCCAGCCTGCTGCCCAGATGTGAAACACCCCCAGCCTCGGCTTGCACAGGCATATTGCCAGAGGCTGTGAGCAGCGATAGGAGCCACTGCCTCTCAGCGAGGAAATCTGAGGTTTTCTGGAGCAATGTCTGACTGCGTCCTTTAGAACCCCTGCCCCACATCCCACCCAGCTCAGGGGCTGAAAGAGATGCCTGGTCCATGCAGCTCCTGGGGGGAACAGCAGCCCAGAGGCTGGCGAGTGCCAGTGCTGCACATGCTGGGGCCACGTGGCAGCACAGCGGGGTGTTAGGAGCTCTGCAAATCCATGCAGATGATTGAGAGTGGGGAAGGGACCCTCAGCCTTTCCCTCTCCCCCAAATGACACAGCAAGTCCTGGGAGAGGGAGTTGGAACTGCTGCCTATCGAGGTGCAGCGTGGCAGCAGCTTGGCCTTCCTTTGCAGAGCTGCCAGCCAGTCTCTGGCTCTGCCAAGCAGCCCCCTGTTGCTCCTTGAGGCAGGGGTGGTATCGCTCAGGGCTGGGCCCAGCTTCTGCTCATCCTGCCTGAGATCCACCGGTCAGCAGGAGCCAGCTCGCAGCCCCCAGCTGCCACAAGCGCTCTGCTGTGCCCAGTGGTCAGGCGTCAGCAGCAGCGTGCCATGCCACGGGAGCCTGTCACCTTCTGGTTGGCATCTCTGTCCTGTGAACCGCAAAGTTACTCCATGGGTTTCCTCCAGCTGTTATGAATGTGGGCTCTGTTCTGTTTTCTGGCCAGTCTGGCTCAGCCACCACGTGGGGACTGACAGCAGTCCACGTTTTGCGTGCTGACTTCTAAACACTTTTCAGTTGGTGACTTTTATGGCTTGATTTCTGGTTTGTTGTTGTTTTTCCTGAAGGTGTTTCCTAAGAGAGGGGGCAGACTATGCCTGGACCTGCAGCTCGTGTGCAGGTCTTACCTGCCATGTTCGGATTGGGTTTTGTTGTGAATGTCACTGATTCAAGTCACTGTCAGCCTCTGCGAATGATGTTGAGAGACATGGAGTGAGATGTGCTGTAAATGTGGAAATCTGCCTTGGATACCATTCCTTGGAGGAGATTCTGCCTCAGTTGGATCCTGCTAGCCTGGGAAGGAGGCTGCAGCTTGACACTTGCTTTTTCTGGGCAGCAAAGGATGCGCATACCTTCCAGCAGATGAGGGGTTTGCCCTGTTTGCAGATCAGGCAGTTAAAGCTGTGGGTTACTTAATGCGGCTACTCCTGGGTAGAAGCCTTGTTCTGTCTCACCTGGAAAGTCCCCGTCATGTGAGCCAAGCTACCCCTCAGGCTCCTTGCTTGTGGTTGGATTATTGCTGATGCCACTGATGGGTGCAAGAGAGGTAAACAGCTTTGCTCCACAACCAAGCGAGAGGAGTTTTTTCACTTTCAAGCTGAGCATTCCCCATGTGGACAGGAGATGTTGCTGGAGAGCAGGACTGCTCTTCTTCAGAGCCGCTCTGGTGCACAGAGCTCTGACTGCATGAGGGCTGGGAACATAACATGCCTGCTTGCTGTACTGCTCCTAGCCGAGCCCAGAGGCAGTCTTTCCTCCCTCCTGCAAGGAAAGTAAGTGGCTCAATTAGGTGAGGTGACCGTGCCTTCGCTGAGTCAGGGCAGGCATAGGAAGATCTTCCGGGCATAGTCTCACCTTAGGCCACCCTGACCACTGTTCAGGCTCCAGTCTCATAGTGATGAGCTGCTTCCTTGGAGTCCTTTCTTTGCCACTCATGTCAGAGGAGGTGGAGATTTATGCATGGTGGGCATTTCTAGGAGAGCTGTTCCCTGCAGGCAAGCAGCTGAGCAGGGAAAAGCGCCAGGTTTCCTTTTGAGAAGTCTGAAATCCATGTGGTCCCTTCTCCAAGGGTTCTGGTTGCCATCACGATGTCTTGCTTCCCTTCTGCCACTCTCCTACTCTGCACAGCAGGCAGAAAGGGGCACCCTGTTGCCACTGCCATCAGCACCGTGTGCCAGGCAGATGGGCCAAGCTCTAACCCTCTGCATTTCTCTTTCATTGCAGATGGCGCGCCCGATTCAAGTGAAACCCGCAGACAGCGAGAGCCGTGGAGGTAGTTGTCATCTCTCCTTGTTTCTCCTTTGGCAGCTTTGTGCTTGTGAGGGGGGCCAAGCAAAGAGACAGGGTCCTGACCCGACCTTTCTTTCCCCGCAGTCTGGATGCAGGGATGTTTGTGTGTGCAGGGATTTGGGGGGGAAGGAGGAGAGTCTAGGGATAGGCTTTGATCAGGAGCCTTCAGCTTGGCATAGCAGGCACCTGAGAGAACCCCAGGTCCGAAGAGTAATACTGTGGCTGCCCACTCGACTCTCTTTCCCAGCCCTGTGAGGGTACTATTAGCCTGACAGTGTCTGCCCCCCCCCGGAGGTTACTGAAGCAGGCATGCACTTTTGGCGTATGGCACCAGGGGTCCTGGAGGGTGTAAGCGGTTGGGAAAGAGCTTTCTTCATTCTTATACCTGGTCAGCCCAATAAAAGCCAGATCCCTGCAGCAGCACTGGCTTTTTAACCTGTTTAGCTCCCTGCTCTGCAGCTAATTCTCCTGTCTGCAGCTCACTGCCCACCCCCATCGCTGCTGGACTGTCTCAGCCTCTCCACTCGCAGGCCTGCAGCAGCCCCCATCACACTGCCAGGGCCCAAGGGCTGTTGCAGAAAATAGCATGTGATGGGGAAATAGTGTCTGAAGGGAAAGAATGCCAAGTTTAGGCCTGAGATGGAGATGCTGTCAGCCTGCAGGGGACCAGCTTGGTTAGAGCAGCGTATACTGAGTAGTTAAGAGTTGGAAGATTGGGAGCAGAAGAATCTCTGTTAATTTAATGGAGAGCTCACAACAGCTCAGATGCCACCTCCAGGTGGAGAAGGTTTGCAACACCAGCCCTTTCCAAATTTATTAACTCATGTTGCTGCTTTTTCTTGTCTTACCAATACATTCCTTTTCCTCTCCATTCCTGCATCTGCCTCGCCATGCCTTGCTGTTGGTGCTGCCTCTGAAAGCAGTTTAATAGTGGGGAGGGGAGAATTTGTGTGAGACTGTTCGTCCTGTAGGGCAGCATATCCTGCATGCTGTGTTTAGATTTGGAAAGTTTTTGTTTTAAATTTTAAGGGGTCACTTCCAAGCAGTTTGTAGTGATTTTCAATTATTGCACTGGCAGGAACATGAGATATATTTTATAATATGTTACATGAATGCATGTATTTATGGTTGTGTGAGCCTTCTTTAAAAAAAAAAGCTTATCTGTTTAAGTCAGATCATTTTTCCAAATAGAATCTCTGACTTTTCATTATTTACTTGAGGGATGAGACACCTGACTTTTACTGAAGTCGGCATTTTTATTCCCTTAGGCTATACTGAGAAGCCCAGACATGCCACCTGTAGACATGCCACCTATAGACATGCTTATTTTGAAAAGAGCCGTGGCTTCGGCCTCCAAAGAAACTAGCGTGCCTAAACCACATAGGACTGGATTCATCTCACCTTACTTCAGCCCCTGGGTTCAGGGGTGAGTTTAAGGTCCTTGTCTATGCTATAGACAGTAAAAAGAGATCAGTGCCTTCAGGGTGATTCACTCTCTTACTCTTGACACTGATACTAAGAGCAGATGAGGTATCCTTTAGAGGGGCCTGCAGTGCAGATAGAGGAAGCTGACTGCTCTCTGACACCTCAAATTGCTTCTAGATACAGCCCTTAGGTGGTCAATCTGTCCCCCATGACATTGATGTTAAAAAATTGCACCCCAGATTTCTAATTAATTCAGAAATTGTGTAATTGTGTCTGAGGTTATTCCTAATGAGTCTTCAAAAGAAAGCATAGACTAGGAGAGGCAGTCGTACCAATAACTAACCATCACAAAGCTGTTACCTGTACATACTGGAAGATCCTGTGCACTCTTTGGCTGTAAGACATGGCTGCATAGCAACCCGCAAAGCCAACACGGGGACACAGGCAGGTGTACCTACAGAGGGATGCCCCATGTGTGCCCTGCTTTATGCATCCATCCATCCATCGGCCCGCTTGACACACACATTCATCAGCAAATGCACACATTTACCTTCACTAGTACAGCGGGTGCCTCTGCATTAAGCTCTCACACAACTGCAGTAAAACCAGACCCAACAGAGAATTCAGGCTGTGAACAGACCCACCATTGCAGCTTTGTTTTCTTAACAGTTTGTGTCTCTTTGATGAGTGCAACTCTGGAATCTCTGGTGTCTAATACTAGGCTGAGGTAATTTCTGCACTCTTAATTTTGCTGGTGGGGCACTACTAGGGACTCTCTTCTATACACAGCCACCTTGTATCACAAAATGTGTTGGGGCTTAACATCTCTGATGCATCAGCTCCTCCATCAAATTGAGCTGAAATACGCCAACAGGTTCAAAACCAGGATGTTGGTTTGGAGGCAAGCTTTTGGTCAAGGCACTGAAATCTCTAAGCTTATGAAAAGTGCCACAGTCTCTAATGACTGCAAATGTCAGGGCATCAGCTCTGCTTCCCATGGAGAAGGTGATAGAGAAAAGCAGCCTTTGGAGTCTGAAGACCTGCCTCTCTGCAGCCCATGTGCCGAGCTTCCTTCCAGCTTCATTGCAGAGCTCAGAAACTAGTATCTCCCACAGGATCCATGACAAACTGCAATTTTTCCTGAGGCAGAAGCAGCATCAGGACAGCACCCTATAGTTGTCTGAATCAGTTTGCTCTTTCCAAAGGTTTCTGTCGTGATGTTCCACTTGTCCGAGAAGTGGGTGAGCAAGTTTGCAGGTATGGGCAGAGCCATTCCCTACAGCAATAGCCCCACACTGGCAGGAGGTAAAGGAAAGATTTGGGGCAGGGCAGAACTGCTTGGTCTAGGAATTTATCAAGGGAACGAATAGCTGCATGCATCAGTGAGGCTCTGCTCTGCATTATCCTTGAAGGGAACCTCTTTTATCCTCTCCAGGGACTGACGTCTCTCAAATTAAGGACCCTGAATTAAGTACCTGAAGTTAGAGTATCAGAATTTGTCTCCTGGTCTAGGAGATGCTAATTTTTGTGCCAAAGGGGCCGTTTTGGCCAAGCCCTGCAGGGGCTGTATGGGGATATCTGAATGCTCAGTGTTACTGCACCCTGCAGAAGGAATTCACTAGTAAAAAGATGCTGCCTGCATTAGTTCAGAGGGGGACCTGTGATTCTGGTGCAGGCTTTGTCAGCTCTTTCCTCCTTTCCCTCACGTCTCTGATGTGAGCTTGGGAGTGCCAGGAGGAGATGGAGTGAGGGAGCAGAGGAGCTTGTCTGTGCTTCTTGTGAGACCGGGAGCACTCTGCTGCACTGATGTGATAGGACAGCTAGCCCAAGCCCATTAGCGCTGCCTTAGAGACAAGAAAGCTCTCTGCATACCCAAGGAGATTTGCTGCATCCCATCCACAGCCAGCTGCTTGAGCGGGCTTTCTCCCTTTCCCTGATCCTTGCTGCTGACAGCTGCTGGCCAGATGACCTAAATCCACGGGGTTTAAAGAGGAGCAGTATCCAGTGCTTGTGTGCTCTCCTCTCTCTCTCGTGGCTGAAGCATTCAGCCTTAACCCCTCCCGTGTTCCCGTGGTATCTTCATCACCAACCTGCTCTGCACTGGCCCTCCTGCTGCTGCCTGGGTGACTGACTGTGCCCAGAGCATGTTTCCATGGGAACTCAACAGTCAGAGATCAGGGACAATTTTCCTGGTTGCTGGACTGCATGGGAAATTGCCAGAGGGTGAAAAACAAGAACTGGAGAGAAAGCGAAGGAAAAAATGGCAGGAGTGTGCTGTTACAAGTGGGGGAGAGAAGATCTTCCAGCACTGCAGGAGTCCCTGCTGGGGAGCCGAAGGAGCCAGTGACCCACAGCAGTGGCTTGAGAATGCCAGCCAATTTGGGATTGATTGCCTTAAGAGTGGTGACAGCAGACATCAGGTGAAGGGGCTTGCAGGGCTTCGGCCCAGCTGTGGAGAGATGAGGCAGCTTGGTTATTGGTAGGGGAACGTCCCTGTTTGGAAGGTGCTTGAAGTGAGAGGGCACTAGATCATGGGTTGGGCTCCAACACATGGAGAGAGGTCAGCAGCAGATGAACCCTTTCACAGGTCCCCACTTGCTGCAAAGAGGCATCCTAGGGGGACAAGCCTGGATCCTTTTCCTACATGCAATCTTGGGAACTGGGCTGTATGCAATGAAAAAAAGGGTGAAAAAATCTTTCTCTTATGTTGTTGGTGACTTCACCCCCTTCTAATGTTGCTGTTCTGGGCATTCAGAAAAGGTTCAAACCCAATATTAGCCTTTAGAGTTTGAGTCCCTAAGGTATGACAGTTTTAACCTGTTCTGCATAGCCAGGAAGGCTGGCATATTTTTCTTCCAAATTGAAAAAAGAAAAAGCTGAAATTCCCACATAAACACAGGATTTCCAAAATGTTCCATTAGTGAGCTGTCAGACAACAGAAGACCTGCAGTAAACTGCAAGAATGGAGACGAGCATCCACTGTTTCAATGGACCTTTCCCAAAGTAAAGCAAAATGCTTTTGATCCAATAGAATGAGGATGAAACCACAAGAATTATCCATGAAATTTCAAGGCCCTCTAAAGGAGAAAACGATGAGTAACTCCTAGTTTAATGTTGATTTGATTGCAAGTTGACAAGGTTCCTTTTTGTTCAGTGCCTCCATTGCAAAGTTGTGGCCTCGTGCATCCGTTAGACTGTTGCTTGGCAGAAACTTAAGCTTTGGGTGGCTGTGGTAACTATCAGGTCCTTGCGCTGAATTAGTCATCAACCAAAACTGGAACCACTTGACTCTCCCTGGGTTACCCACTATTCTTCGGCAAAAACCTCACTTCACGCAAAATCAGATCCAGAAGCAAAAGGCCGGTGTTACACAAGTAACATTCCGTCGGTGTAGCTGTGTGTTCCCCCCACCCCTGCCACCCTGACCCAAACAGCCAGCCAGTCTGCTGGGGTCCCTGAAGAGCAAGGCAAGACCATCAAGTGCATTTCTGGCTGTTAAGTCTTAATCCACAATTACTTGCTTGTTAGTTCAAAGAACAGAGGATTATTTTACAGCATCTGAAGTCAGTACAAATATTTCCCAGGGTGTTTCTCCCCTTTGTTGATGTGTTTTTTACGGAACTCCTGCCGTGTTTGCAAACCAAAGGCCACAGCGTGGTGCACAGATCTGAAATAAGGCCTGGCTGCAGCTGCAATGTAGATTCAGGGTAGAGGAAGGGGGAACACTGCAGAGCTCAAGTGTCCCCTCCCATAGGCAATTGGATCGCATGTGGCACCGGGTGATGTTAATGGGAGCACAGAGCTACTGCTCCTTTCCATTTCCAGTTTCAATTCTCCTCTCCACCTCCCAGTAAATATGTTCCTGACCGGTCCTGGGGTTTTTTTCCACTCCCAGTCAGATTTTTCAGCTTCTTTATGTGCAATTTTTTGGCTGGTTTGCCCACCAGCATTTCTGAGCTGGCCCTTGGGTGGGGGCAGATGGTCTTACTGCTAAGGCGGCAGCTGCACAGCACCTGGTTTATTGGCCCCTGTGGCTTGGCCGGGGATTGTTGGGCGTTGCCAGAGCACTAAATTTTGGATGGACTCAATCAGCTGAAATAGTGTCTCCAAAATACATCCATTGTCGTCATGCAGGTACAGGGAGAAATGTAGAAAGAATCATAAGGAAAATGGAAGGGGAAGAAATTCCCACAGGTTTAGTTATCCAGGGAACCATGAAAATGGGGAAGCCGGGAAATTTGGCTTTTAAAAAATACACAAGGCCATATATTTCAGCCACTTCCAGTGGTATAACTCAGGAGTACCTGTCTGGGCCATGGTAAGAGCCTTAGATGCAGCACTTTTAACCCTTTCTCTGTGGTGGATCGAAGTGGCATCCGTGTCGCATGTACATCTAGCGCCTAGTGGACAGCTGTGCGTGCGTCAGCTCGTGCTTGGGCTCCTCCGTGGGGTGGTGCAGCCATACAAAGTGGCTCCCTGGGGTGTCCTCATGGTGGAAGAGTGCATCTGTCTGCACATCCCTCTTGCTCGCTAAGGAGGTTTGTTTCTGAAGGCATGGGCTGGGGCAACGTGCAAGCATGTTCCCGTGCACGCGTGAGCCCATGTGCTTGTCCGTTAACATGGTGTGTATGCATCTGCTTTTCTGCAAGGGACCCAGTGGCATGTGGAGAAACTTTCTGCATGTGTTCCCAAGCGTGTCCGTATGTGGCAGAGGCGTGGGGGGGAGGCAGCTTGCTTACTTACCTGGGTGGGAGCCATCCTCTCAGCCAAGGAGGAGCAAGGAAGGGGCTGGGGCAGGGGAGGGGAGGGGAGGGCTTTGCTGGCAGTGTGAATGTGTCATGTGTCATCCAGTCCTGCCATACATACATACCACCACCCCTGCAGCCTGCTCTGCTGCTGTAGCTCCAAGACCTGTTGTTTTTCAGGTCATTGCACTCAAACACATAGCAGCTTCCGTGCTGTTTTCCCTGACATATGTCACATTACATTGGTTTTGTGTGAAGCCAGCCCCTCTGATCCTGTCGCTAACAATAAGGAATCCTCTCTCACTGCTCCTCCCAAGCCATCCCCTGACACGTTCGCCCCTATGGGTCATGTCTCCCCATGCATGTTTGGGGCAGTGGGGGAGGGTTAACTCTATAGTTGGCACAACTGTATCCTTGCAAAAATGGAGATTTGGGCTGGCGTTTAGACTGGGATTTTAATATTGTGCTATTTTAATAGCTGTTCACAGCAATCTCTGGAGGATGTCGCCCCAACCACTGCTGTGTTTGTGCTTGACTGGATGGCATTAGGCTGTGCGATGAGCCCCCGTGTGTACTGGTGGGGGTAGAGAGGGGAGAAAGCGCTGTGCACGTTTCTTCCCACCTTCACACTTGGCCATCCTAACAAAACCATATTCCTTACTTCTCCGTTCTGATGGAAGAACCCAGAAGGACCCTGAGCTCAAAGTCCTGGATGTGTTGGCCAACTTTCCAGCCCCCCGCCAGTGTGTCACGGGTACAAAATGCCCTTTGGGGGGGGAGGGGGGGAATCATGGAGCTGCTTGTTGGCCTTCACCCAACTGTCTTGCATTTGGCTGATCCTATGGTGAGGCAAATTGGGACCCAGGATGCCAGGGTTTATTCCAGGCTTTAGAGAACATCTCAGTAGACATACTGGTTGGAATGGGGAGGGAAGGGCAAACTGAAACAAAGATGCTTGGTTACATAGCAGCTGTGGAAACGGTGATCTTGGAGAGAAGGAAAAGGAAACAGAAGCCAAGGGTCCTGGATTTTATTCACCCTGCCTGGGTTGGTCTGCTGTATTTCCTAAGTTACCTCCTGGACTTCACATATTGTTCAATAAGGGTATAATAGCTCAGGCAGTTTTTCTTATTACCATTTGTGTTGGATCATTCAAAGAAAAGGGCTAATGAATGGAAGGAAATTATTAATCTTTTGTTTTCCTTTGAGGGAGGGTAGGACAGGGGAAGCCACAGAAACCTTTGCAGGTGTGGGGAGCTTGGGAGGACCCTGCATATTCACCCCTGGAAGCATTTCAGCCAACAGCAAATAATTTCCACGCCAGGCATGTTTTCAACACTAGGCTGTTTTGTACTTAAGTGTCCCTATCCTCCTGCTTTGGACTGTAAGCCTCATAGAAGGTTGATGTTTCTGTGTTTGCCCCTAGGGGACAGGAAACTCTTTGTGGGCATGTTAAATAAGCAGCAGTCTGAGGATGACGTGCTCCGGCTCTTTGAACCATTTGGAGTCATTGATGAATGTACCGTGCTCCGTGGACCTGATGGTAACAGCAAAGGTGTGAACCCCTGTGTATGTCGTGCCCTTTCTCCCTGCTCTTCAGGTAGCGCTCACTTGCCTCACCACCTGGGCCTCCTTTCCGCGGGGGCACTTATTCCCCACCCCATCTTTATGGAACCCGTATCACAGCCGGGAGCAGGGCAGGGAGAGCTGTCTGCTGCAAGGAAAGATTGGGAAGATGGGTAGGGACTGAGGCAAAAGGAGGGGAAGCAGAGCACAATGAGTAGCTGAGTTATCAGGGTGACTGGTGAGCCTGTTGGCTCAGTCTGGGTCTGCAATTTGAACTGTTTGTACCCACAACTAGGAGTGCATAGAGAATTTGGGGAAGAGGTAATCAGGGGCAAGGGTGGACACGGTGACATCATCTATAGAGTATATCATTGAAGTAACAGTTTGAGACCCTTCCTGTTTTTTCCAGGATAGAGGACTTGGGATGAGTCATCCTTTTTGGTCCCTGCTTTCTTGGGATGGCTTTCCTTTGCCCTGCCTAAAATCCAGATACTGTCTCTGTGTGATGATGCAAGGGGCGCTTTCACAGCAGTCCTGTCACTGCAATCTCCTGTGCTCTTTCTGTCCCTTTCCAGGCTGTGCTTTTGTAAAGTTCTCATCTCACACAGAGGCTCAGGCAGCAATCCACGCGCTCCATGGCAGCCAGACAATGCCCGTGAGTATAAGGCCAGGGTACCTATCCTCTTCCTAATCCTCTTCCCATCACCCTGTTGCAGGGACCACCCCTCACGGTCCAAAATCATGACAGGTTTAACTGCCGGTTCCAGGTCATGTGGTTGTGGAGGGTGGGGGGTATGTGTGTGCACATCTGTACTCTTCTCTTTGGGAACCATCCTGTCTCTTGGGCGGGTGTGTATCTATGTCTGTCCAGAGTGGTAGTGACAGCACTTACAGCTATAAAGGCTAAGTAAAAGAGAGCCAAGAACCAGGCCATGAATTTATCTTGGAGACAGCTACCCATAGTTCAAAACTGAGCAGGGTGCAAGCTGACAATTCAGCAACGTGAGCAGTCAGGACGCCGGTGTCTGAGCACACTCCCCACCTTCTCTTATTTAGGCAGTAGAGGAGGCCTCTGGGGCAGGCTGGGTGTGGATGGGAACGCTTTGTGCATTGTATGGGGTTGCGTAGCCGCAGCTGTGCCTTCTTGTGGAAGTGGAGCTGCAGTTGTGATCTCATCTCTCACAATCTCTAACCTGGATTGGGGCACCTTGTGGGCAGGACAGTGCATTGCTGCAGCAGGGGTATTTCCAGCTGCCAGGAACTGCTTTGTCTATCCAGCCAAGCTCATGGTGGTGGAGAGCTGGTGCTTGTGGCTGACAATGTCCTGAGCGTCCTGGCGAACACAGCCAGGGATGAGTGCACCCACTTGTGCAACTGTGCAAGGCCCAGGGTGTAAGGGGAAGGGATGGATGGGTGGATGGGTGGGTGGGTGGATGGATGGATGGGTGGATGGGGAAGGGCACAGCCCAGGTTCCAGGCAGCTCCTGAGCACTTTCACACCAATATTTGCTCTTCTGCTCCTCTTCCCACTCCTCTCTGTTGCCTGTTCTGCCCCATCCCACCTTGCCTGACTGCTGACTCTCTGGCTGTCCCACGGCCTCTTCTCCCCCTGCCTCCTCTCTCTGTCTCCTCTTTCTGTGCCTAGGGCGCCTCCTCCAGTCTAGTGGTGAAGTTTGCTGACACAGATAAGGAGAGGACCCTCCGTCGTATGCAACAAATGGTGGGGCAGCTGGGGATATTCACTCCATCTCTCACCTTGCCGTTCAGCCCATACAGCGCCTATGCGCAGGCTGTGAGTATCACGCGTGTGTGTGTGGGGAAAGGCTGCCCTCTTGGCTACGGGGCAACACCATACCTGGGCTGGGAGACCACAAACGGGTCTCTGTAACAAATGCGTGAAAGCTTCCTGGCTTCTTGGAGTTGTTCCTGGCTTCAGTTTCTCCAGTCAGCAGGCTAGTTTTGTGCATTTCTCTCCTGGAAGGGGTGACAGGAGAGAGCTGGGACCTTCTCAAAGTGAGGCTGGATTTCTCTGATGTGGCGTAGACTGGCGGAGGTGTCTGGGAACAGGTCAAGCATGACCCAGTGTCTTTTTGTCTTGCTTTGAGGGCAGCTCAGAGCCACTATTCCTGGGTGATGTCTGGCAGTCTGCCAACTTGTGAACTCTTCCTCTGGGTCTATGGCACAAATGCGTGTCTCTCTCTGTTTCTGGAGCACCATGAGAGCCCTGGACCCAGCCTCATGTGTTTTTTTCTCTGCTGAAATTCTCAGGAGGGCCCTAATTCCCCAGGTGCTGTCCTTGGCTCCCAGGGTTTTGTCTCTTGGCTAGTGTGGCTGTGGGGTTTGCAGGATGCTGGAGAGGGAGCAGTGGGTAGCAGAGGGTCAGAGGTGTTGCAGCAGTCTAGCCTCCTCTGGCAAGACTGGCTGTGCTTTGGATCTCAGTGAGAGAACCTCATTGCCTTTGAGCGATGGTGGCGACTGCCGTTGATGTTTGCAGTAGGCCCGAAACTTAAGAAGCTCCTCTTCAGCTGTCATGGAGCATCTTTTGGGTCTTCTTGGTGACTGTCACTTTCAGGTCTCTGCTACCAAGTATAAAGCCTGTAGAAGGAGGCTCAGAAATTGCTCAAGGCATGCAAGATGCTTGTGTCAAACAAAGAACTCAAAAGTAGGTACTGTTAATGAAAGTAATTTTTTGGGGGGGAAGGGAGAGCAAATAAACCTGTTCTTCTCACATATGTGGACACCTCTTTCACCCCTGGCTTCAGTGGCTACTTGGTGCATTTCCCTCCCATCTACATGACAGAGAAGGAACTGTTTCTCAGTTGTTGGCCATTTCCTCTCAAAGAATCCCCAGAAATTGCCAAATGCCATTCAAGCACATGGCAAGAGCATGGAGTAGCAAAAGAAAAGAGGCAATACGTATGCGCTTCCATACCATTGGGGTGTTTTGGGAACCAGATGCAGAATTTGTCCAGCACAGATTATTTGATTCTTCTTGTGTAATGAAGCTGAGAACAGCTATACCATTCTAAGCACTAGGGCTTCTAGTAGAAGAATGGTTTAGAGGGGAGAACCCTTTCTGACTGGACACCAGTATCTCTTGCCAGGACCAATCTTTTCTATCCAGCCCTGTAATCCACAAGCCAGCTATACCTGAGGTCTAGGGTTGTAGCTTAGCTCAGCTGTGGGTCAGCTATGAGACGATCATTCTGGTGTACCTTCTGCTATCATATAGATGGTGCTAACTTGGGCATGGTATGATGGTGAAGGAGGCAGGACTGGACCACTCAGTGAGGTTATGATGGCAGGAAGTGTTTTATTAGTTTGTGGTCCAGGATGTGTAAGGAAGGAGAGCAGCGAGACCTTCTAGACTCGGTCTTTAAGTGCTCTCCAGTCTTTAGAAACTCCTGCTGATGACAGAAGGCCAGTCAGGCCTAGGCTGTGTTTCTTGCTTATCTGCATCTTCTTTCTCCTCAGTTGTGTCTGTAAATTCGTTGCTTTGTCTCTGATTCTTCACTGGCCTTCCTCTTCTTTGACTTTATTTTAGCTTTCCCCTTGACTCCAGACTCAGCCTGTCTCCCACTCTTTCAGGTTTTTTCCTCCTTTTCCTTTTCCTTTCCACTGGTTTTGGTTCTCTGTCCTTCTTCTTTCTGAGGCACTGACCTCACAACTGATTGTTTCTTCTCTTGGTCATCCCAGTCTTTGGTCTCCCTTCTCCCAGGGGGGAGATCCTGGCCAGGTCTCATATGCATACAGTGTCCCCATCAGAGGGAGAGGGTATCAGCCCTTTGAAATGCCATCTAGTATCTCTGGAAGTGGAGACAGAAGGGAGGGATTTCCTCGCTAAATCTCCTTACAGTACTTCCAAATGTCCTGCCATGGGCAGCTCTTGGGAGCTGGGACCTCTAGTAAGCCAGGGCTCAAGGGAACTCCAACGTAGTTCATGCTTGCGTGATGCAGGGCTTGGAGTAATAGATGCTGCAGCCAAGGTTACTTGTAGGCCCAGGAGATGCAGCTAACGATTATGTGCCTGGTTGACTCGGACTGAGAGGAGCGAGTGCTGCTGGGCTGAACTGGTGCATCATAGGCATTGGTTCTTAGATTCACAACTGAATACACCAACAACTTCCTCTCCCTATCCCCGTGGGATTTGCTGCCTCGCCAAGCCAAAGCAGAGTCCCCGGCCTTGGAAGAAGTTTGGAGCCTGGGTTGTTTGGTTTTGGTTTTTTTTTTTTCAGTTGGATGTTTTAAATTTGTATTAATTGCATTTTCCTTTAAAAACGATCTCAAATTAAACATGAAATAATCACAAACTATGTTAGATCTAAAGTTATTCTGATATATTCAAATATACAAAATAAGGTATTAAAAATAGTCAAACAGCTGATACAGTTTGTAAGAAAAATTCTCATACTTACCTGGGAAATATGAGTGGCTAAGCATCTGCAGGCAGTTTATTTCTTTATTGTACCAGGGTTTGATCCCAGGTGCCTCTTCTGCAAGTGAAAAGTGAGTATTTCCTTCGCTGCAGTTTGTTCAATAAGTGGAATTCAGTGATTAGTTCAGATGGAATCAGGGAACTTGATTGGGAGCTGAAAAAATAATAATCTATCAATACAAAAGAAGCCTGAAGTCTCAAAAAAGCAGTCAGTCCAATTTACTGACTGCTTACAATGCTTGAATATTTCTTGTCTTTCATAAATCAGTTAGTTCTAAACACAAGACATAGTTTGTTCACACACCACACCCCCCTTTTCTTTCTGCTCTTATGGTTCATTATGGTAATTTTATTTAAGTAACGAAAACAATTTCAGAATGCTAGTTTGGTGCAAGTGCAGTTGGATGCAGGTCTTGTTCCAACCAGAGCCTAGCACAGAACAGGCATTAATGAGAAAAAAGAAAATCAATATTCATCTAGTAAATAAGAAATACATTGGTTCCTGCATCCTTAAATGGAGGCAGTGTGAGGATAGGGCTAGGAATATGCGCAGACTGCTTGCCACAGGGACACCTTTGTGCTCTCAGGAAGGCCACATTTTGTCGTAATCCTGGCTCAGGGTGAGTGATTCCCAGTAACGTGAGTCCTGCTTCAGGGAAATCGCTCCAAAGACAACGTGGTGGCGAATAGATGGGATGATTTCGGGGCACTTGCTTTCTGGAGTCAAGAGGCAGTGAACCCCTTGGCTGTCAGTCAGTCCTGCCTGCCTGCAGAGACCCTGCTCCCTCCCACCCCTGCCCCAAAAAGGGCTCTCCCCAATCCCAGGGCTGCCCTGCAGAGTCAGTGCCACCCCAGTTGCTTTGCTTGTGCCAGCTCACAGACAGCGACGCCATGAAATCAGGCGATTCCTCTTCTTTTTATGCAACAGCGATAATCAGCTTCTGTGTAGAGGAAACAAAGAGGTTTAGCTAGTCCTGAACTTTTCAGAGTTACCAGATTCTCCCAGATACCTGGGCCAAACTGGCTTACTGACTCAGCCATTTGTGGATGAGGCACGTTACTTGAACGTTCCTTTTATTGCAAACAGATAGTGGGATGCAGTTGTTAATGTAAGGAGGATTTGTGTTTTTCTTGGGTTTTGCCGTGTGCCACCCGCCAGCTCCTGTGGAATCGTAATTTCCAGAGCGCCATGCCTGGGCCTCCCCTGCTCGTCTCGCTTGATGGTGAAGACAAGGCTTATAAAGAGGCTAGATAATTTTGCATCCAGAACTAAGTCTTCGTTGCCACTGCACTCTGAGCGCAGTCTGATTTAATCTTATGCTCCAGAGCACCAACTGATGTCCAAGTAGGACCAGAAGGATTTTTTTCTTCTTCCTCCTAACCCTCCACCCAACCTTGTGTCCCGCCCTCCTCACCCCTTCTTTTGCCTTGTGCATCTCTGCCTAGTCAGGTGTGTTACAGGACCACAAGGAGCTGCCATCTCCCAACCCCAGGGTGCAGGCCGCCGCCTGAGGCAAGGCTTGAGCTCCATTGGTCATGGGGCAGACCTCAGACGGCAAAGCATGCCAGAGCTGGGCCTGGACAGACACCTGGTTGTATGGCAAGGGTGCACGTACCAGGACGAGCTCCGTATGTCTCCCAGCAGCACGGTCTCCTTGTCGAGGTTGAGCAAAAGGAGAGTGATTTGGACCCTGTTCCTCAAGGCAATCCCTGGCACTGTCCCAGGAGAAGTGGCGGTGCTCAGAGAAGGGGCTGTGGCTGGGAGGAAACGTTGCTGTGCCTGACAGCGCAGTAGGGCTTGTAGTGAGAGGGTGCTGCTGGGGACCAGGAGCGCACCCCTTTCCTTGTCCCCTTCCCCACTGCGGGAAGGGCCCATCCCAATGGCCTGGCACACAGCTGAGAGAGCAAAGACCCCCCAGAGGCTGCTGGCATGCGGAGAGGGCGAGGGTGGGTGGAGGGCTGCCCGGCTATGGCCCTGGCTTTGTGGAGGATGCCCGCCTAGCTGTGTCCCCTGGC